ATTTGCATCTAGTAATCCCTTTTCCCAAAGGAAGCAATTTCTGGGAGTTTTCCCAGTGAAAACAAGCCTGTTATTTAGATCAGCCGTGCTAAAATTGGACATTGTGATACCAGTAGGCCTTGGTGTCATCATGTTGTGGGTTGGCAATAGACATCTGTAGAATTTGGAAAAACTCACAAATTCAGCAACAGACAATGGAGTTTGTCTTTTCTTCTAAAATTCTCCACAAACAGTTTTTCCACAACCTTCCTCTTGTCCAGAGGTCTGTTTTCTTCCCTTGTGACCTCCTGTGACCCAGAGTTTGACCACCCCAACACAGTGCCACTGACCCTCCCTTCCACTACAACTCAATAAAAAAAGGAGGCCCTTCAATGGTGTCAACCACCCATTTACACTACCTGCAACAAGCGTGGACAAAATCATTTATCAAGGATGACGGGTTTACTCACAAAGCCCGGGCATGAAAAATGCCCAGTTTACTTGAAAATGGCAAGTCTGAGGATTGCAGGCACTAACTGCATGTGTCAGGTCATTAACCTTTAGTGCCTTGTTTTCTTCAAAAGCTGCAGGTTATCCTTCATTTAACTGTTCACTTGTCTTCTTTTTTGTTCCAAGTGAAAGAAAGTTACTCTGAATTGTTTTCTGTCCATAAACTGTGACATGCAGATTACACATCCACAATTTTGTTTGAGAACCGACAACATCTTAAATTTTGAAGTCACTGAATCGATTTGTCTTGAGAGTGTCCATATTGTTGAAAGATGCATTTTGAAACTTTACTTTCAAAGTATTGCGTTCACACCAGTAACAGCTAGATTGTACACAAGTGAAGTGTTACATTGGTAAGATTTAAAGACTGTTTTCCAAAACCACTTGTTGTACTTACCAGTCATGTGATGCCACTAGAATGCAAGCAAACAGTATTTCACCCTGCCCATGGGGAGTTGTAACTTTGTGGAAACCCACCTCAGTGGGTCAGTAATCTATGACAGTCAAATCACCCAATGAAAAACACAGTATATCGGGTCAAGTAAATGATTGCTGGGAAGTGTCACAAATATCCCCGATTGCATCTGTCTGATTTGATGGATGACTTCTTCAGTAGTACCCGCCTTGCTGGTCCATTAGACACACCTGTCTTGGCTCCCCTGAATTTTCCCCCACTTGTTTTTTGTTTCATCCACACTTTCTGACAGCCAATTGTAAATACAGGATGAATGTCTTCACTTGTGGTTTGGAATCATTTGACCACCTGTGAAAATGAATACAGTAGATCCAAACAAGTTTTGGATTTTAGTCACAGGGCAGGGAGTTTCCAACAGTGAATCTGAGTCTGGCCCAAAGTTCCCACCTCAAACCCTTTTTGTGACTGGTCACCAGTTCTCAAACCAGATTCAGAAAAGTGTCATGCAGCTTCAGAGCAGGGCCTGATCCAAGTTTTAAAAAAGTGATCTGGTGTGCAAGGATGAATTTATAGCCTGCAGTTCTGACCACAGGAGGGGCAATGTTGATTTTACCTTTATGCAACCCCATGAAAAGTGTAAGGTGATATAGCTGGATGGTGTGTTGCTGTTTGGTGGTTTTGGTTGCCCAGTGATAAATTAAAATCTCCCCCATCTTTTGATTTGTGTAAAGGTTGATCATTATAAAGGATCACCATCAATCTTGGAGTGGCCCACAGCACGATGTTTGCATCGCTCTTTCAAAAAGAAGTCATGCATTTCGTCCAAAGCTGCTAAACTGATTTTTGTCGTGATTGATATACGATAAGTACAGAAAGGAGGGGTTTTTTTACTTGATACAGTTAAGGGTTCTCCTGCATGGATAAACAAGTGAATGGTGTATATTTCATAGACTGCCTTGAGCTCTTGAAGTAAAGTTACAAAAAAAATGATCGAATTGAGAAACCACAAACTGTGTAAGGTTTCAAGCTGTCTTTTTACTGGAACAACATACGTGGAGGCCTACCTGTTTTTGTAACAGTTGGGTACCCACAGAACTGTAAAATCCTGGCAAATCGTAGCAAAAGCAAAGTACATGTATGTTGACAGCACAGATTCTTGATGACTACATGTACCCTTGCTAATGCCCTATCAACATGTACCCTTGCTAGTGTACTCTCTTCTGCAATCTCAATCATATGAAATTGTCAGCAACTGAACTCAAAAACAAAGCATTAGCTTTTGATGCATAGCAAAGGCTTCCTCCTGTTTCGAACTCATGGTATGTCAGTATTTTGGGATAAAAAGTTGTACCTGTCTCTCAGAAAAGGTGTGTTGAAATCTGAACTTAATTCTGAAAATGGATCTGGGTACCTGACATTTTTGTCAGCTGTTAGTTTCTGAAGAATTCATCACGACAACAGTTAAGTTGGTGTGCTGCGTTCAACATCCCTATTAGATTTACATGTACAGATACCCCATCAAGTGCTTTCCATTTCTAAAAAATGAAACTAACTTGATTTGCAGCAGAGGCAAGAATGGACCCCATGTGTGAATGTTTGACTTTTGAGAATGGTACGAACAGGGATCGTAAGATACAGAACTATGATTCTGACTTGGAATCGAAATGTAAATCTTCTCAAGTCCTTTGGAAAACTTTAGTTCTTGATCTGGTAAAAGCTGTTTAGAATATGCATTTTATTAGAAGATGAAGTAGCTGGCGTGCTACAGCATTAAGTTTGCATTTTTGTTTTTCACTGAAGTTTTACTAACAACCAATGTGTAATTCCTTAGAGATATTTCAAAACTGGTACCCTCTATAGGTGTTTATGCCTGGCATGATTGTGTAGATATTTTCAAAACTGTAATCTCTGCTTGTCACTTTTGTAGACGTAAAGCGATTGCGCCACATGAATTATTATACACAGGCCTTAGTTTCAAAATGTCAGGAGATGGGGTCTGACTGTGTTAAGAAATGCATGCCTTGATTTTGTTCTCGTTTTTGGCGCAGTTGCAAACATCCGGCAAAAAAAGTAAATTTGGCTGGGAAAAATGTGGACTATTTGTTCTGATAAGCCTATTCTATTTTTGCTGCTGAACCTTAGACAGATGGCAAACAAACTGCAATATGATACACTTAACTTTCATGAAAGCGATTGGCTGTTATGAGACCTCTTGATGATTTGCTGTAAATCACAAGGTTTGTTTAGTTCCGTCAGTTTGTAACAAGTGCCGCTGGCCCACGCCGGGCTGGCCCTCTCTCCAACAAATTGCTCATTTGGAGTGTTGGTAAGCGTTAACGCTATGATGAATAATGGCACTTAATTCTTCATAGTCACTGTCATCCGGTCCCGCAAAGTTTGCACAAGATGTAAACATTTACAATTGTACATTCTCTCTCTTCCGCTCGTTTCTTGCTTGGTTTATGAGCTCAAGGAGAGAAGGATGTCTTTTCTGTTTTTTTGCTGGTGGCGCTGTGTTCCCGAGTCTGACCCCCTCTGGATCCTTACCCACAAAATGTCGAGTGTCACTGACCTTTCGCCTTCCATTTGAAGGGCCAACTAATCCTCATCAAGTGTCCATGGCATTACAAGAACCATGCCAGCTTCATCCACTTTTGCCGAATACCTGACTGATGGCAATACGAATTTGTGTAAAATTTCATGTCCATATACTTCTAAATTGCTAGTGACAGGTGAAAAACTGTATGGCGTGTTGTGCTCATTTCAACAGTTGCTTTTGTGGCAGAAGGCAGAGTTGTTTACTTGAGTCACAGAACTGGGTCACTCCGCTAAAGTGAGAAAAATGTCTCTTGACTTCATTTTGCTCGGGGAAAATCATGTAGTAATATTATCCAGTTCTTTTCGAAATAGTCTCCTATAACCAACCTAGATTGAAGTTGATCTGCTTTTTATGTTGCAGAGCCAATTTGAAAAACATTTGGATCAGTGTGACCTGTCTTTAGGGTAAAAAGAAAGACATAGTCGTACAGTGCCCTTTGAAAGACACTTTGCAGGTTCTACTTTTTCTCGAAACAGCACCTGGACTGCCAATTATACATTTATGTACAGTTGTTCACTGTTCCTTCTTTCTGTTGTGCAAGAAGTACCAGATTTTGGTGATTTCTGTTCACACTGTTACGGGGAGTGCCCTGTAATGACGTCTTTACCTCATCTGTAATATGTGTAACATCACAGACAAGAAGCACTTCCAGGAATAATCCCAAACTCCCAACGAGCATTTTTTTTCCTTGAAAAATTCTGCCTTGATAGTCAGTGGTTTTAGTTCAGCCCACATGAATTTGGAAAGGTTGTGCATTGGCACGTTCTTGTTCTTAGAAATGATCGAATGGTTCTCTGTGAATTTTTAGATACAGGTACATGTACATGGAGGTAGTTATTAGTACTTCAAGGGAGGAGAATCTTGTAGGCTCAAACCTTGTCTCACTTGACATTTTACGTTTGTTGCTTTCTTTTGGGAGACATATGCCTTTCGGCGACAGATTAATTTAAACTTTTAGCTTCCCTGGCTATCACACTGTCTATTATTGTCTGTTTTTAAATATTTGTTAGTTTTTCACCCGATAGTTTTAGGTTTTAATTTGAAAACCCAAATAAGTATAATTATTATTTCCCCTCCTAAATCCTTCAATTTCAATGGGATGCTACACACACCCAAGGGGGTTGGGGTAAAAAAAATCAATATTTACATTGCTACGAGGGGAAACATCCTGTGTACTTAATGTACATGTATCACATTTACCAACAAAGGTTTTTCCCCAAGTTGAGATTTACTTCAATTTTTTTCCTTTCAGCGGGAGACTTTAGTCACATTTTGGTAGGTGAATGTTATAGCCATCACATCAGTTAAAAACATCTCCCCACAAACTATGTCTCATTCACATTTGAGTCACCACCAATAGGTTTCTTGCAGCAGCTGGAAAAAATTATCACATCTTGTTTTGGAGTTTTAGCTTGGAGGTAATTCAGTATGTTCAGTGTTGTGATGATTGTGTGATCATGTATTTAGCAAGATATTGTGTCTGTATATTCCTCACAGCGATGGCTCCATTAAAGAGTGGGACTTGTACAGCATGACATGCGTGAGGGCACTACATGGCCACAAAGGGTCCGTCCGGGATGTTAAGGTATGCCTTATAATTATTTCAATTTGACCTCATGTGGGAGCTATAAAACCTACATGCTTTTATAACGAAGTGGAAAGATGCAAAGTAAAAATAGTTTGTGCATATCAAGATATAAAAGTTGAATTTTTTCGCAAAATTTCCACGTTTTCTCTTCACTTTCAAAGAGACCTGTGTATGTGATCAGTTGCAAACACATACAAGCAGTTCATTTTGAAATCAAAGAAAAAATGAGGAAGTTTTGTTGCAAAACCCAGCGTTTGTTTGTCCACATTTCTTACATGCTGTGTGTTAAAGACCTTTTGCCATTCTCATTGTTCAGGTATACATGTAGGTAACGCTAACAACAGTCCTGTTTTCTCTCTTTATTTTGCGTTCTTGCAGAATATCTTCACATTACGATTACAAACACATGTACTTCAGCTATATTTTGAAATTAACATTGGGCTGATGTTTTAGGCATTGTATCGCCTCAGGCAGTCAGACCTGGGACTAATTACACACTTTAGGTCATATGTAATCGTTCATGGTAGGATTAGTCAGAAATAGGAGGAGGCATCTCTTTGAAAGAAGACAAAATGTAAGGAGTGCAAAAAGGATGTCTAGTCTCTCTGCTCTTCTATTTGAAAATAGATGTATGCACATTCATGCAGTTGCCATCAACACATTAGTCCTCGGGCTCCCCTTCCTTGGAGCTTACAGCTGCTAAAGACTCTTGACATCCCCTATTTCCCCCAAACCACCCTCAATTCACCTTTGATAGCAGGATGTGTCCAAAATGAGCATTTTATGGCTAAAGGCTCTGACTACTTTCCATGATTTGCTAATGGCAAAGACAGAAGGCATAGCAGAAGCCACAAAATATGTCAGCTATGCACTCGTAAACATGTGTGACCCGTCCCTATGGGAAAACAGGTTGAACAGAGGGATGAAAATGTAGCAAAAGTGGATTTTTGTTCTTACGAAGGGACAGATATCTTTGCTAATTAATTTTGGCTAATCAACTGGGGTGTTCATTCTAATCACTGGGGTGATGTAAAAGTTCACCTTTCAAAGAATCATTTAAAGTTTTCTTACTGAACAAAGTTTTGGCAAAGTAGTAGTTTTTGCAGTTTTAAAATAGTAGAAACTTCCCTTGCTTCCCTTCAAAATGGTTTTTCTTCCAAATCCACATATCCATCCCTTCTTCAAACGGAGCACCACATTGTTCCCCAGGATATGGGTCAAGTAGCCAGGGAGGCAGGGAAAGAGTTCTTTAAGGGATTTCATTTCTGAGCACAACCCAGGAAAGTTAGAATGTCCAACAACCTGATGCTCCCCATGGTTGCCTGAAGTGTGAGTATTCCAAAATACCCATGCCCAGGTTACTGACACCGCACACTGCTTCTCCAGAGACTTGCCCCCCTGACTCAGACCCGCTTATCTGTGGCTAGCCAAAAGCTCACTGCAATATATCTTGCCTCATCAACTCTAATTAAGATAGAAGACATGGATTGGGAGGGGCACCTCGCATGAAGACTCCAAGGATTTGAAGACTCCAAGGATTTGTCACAGGCGTTATCAGATGCCAAGTTTTGGTGTGTACAGTTCTGAATGGCAGTGCAGAAAAGCCACCGGGAAAACGGCAGATTCCCTCACCAGATTTCTGGCAGATATTTTGCTCGTAAAATTCTGGAGGGATGTGTGTAATTGATGCTGATCCCTGCGAAAGACACCTTCAATAGCCATTAACAGGAAAATCTGTCATTGGCTTGGAACTTGTTGTGACTTTAAGAAAGTGTTGTCCATTGGATGTGATTGGTTCCTTGAAAAAGTATTGTTGCTCTTGCCAATTTTCTTGTTGGCATGCCAGGGTTTTCACAATATCTGAAGATTTCAGTTTTGTTTCTCTGGAAGAAATTGAATTGAAGCTTCACTCTTCTCTCCAAGTGTGGAAATTATTGCAGAGATTGAGATCCAAACTGTCAAAATTTGTGCTGGCTGTTATGCAACACCCTGCCTTATGTGGTGACATGCATTGATTTCTGAAAGGAAAAAGGCATTGATTTTATTGCAAGAACTTCTCTATCCAGCATGGAGCTGATGGGCACATGATGAACATAGCCTCATTACCTTGGTAACAATGTATTCCTTCAGCATAAGGCTTCATCACGTTGGCCATTTCTAGGCTCTCGTCTTCACAGAGATTGAGTGCATTACACATTGTGTCACATACAACAGCTCTCCCCGAAATGTGGACATCAGTCTTCTTGTTTCTTGAGGAAACTTCTAACATGAGACACATACCAACAAGAAAGCAATATGGCGTTGATCACTTTGCAGGAAAGCAAAAGGTGCTGAATTGATGGTGCGTTTCCATGGTAGACTTTTGGGCCTTCTGCCACTTTACAGTTGATATGCAGGTGCGGGCCAGAGATGGAGACTGTTATTCTGGAGCCATCGGGGCCTATTTCTTGAGCCCGCCCGAGCTATTTTGTTCCAATCAACTGAAAGGTTTAAGCCAAATTCTCTTGGGCTGAGTGTTGCTCGTGCCGGGTGTTGTCAAAGCTCCTCAACTCTTTTATCATTGCTCTTCACGCCTCAAAATGGCCGGGGCTGCATGAATTCTCTTTGAGACACCTCTTTGATGGCCTCTGCAACCCAGCGGGAGTACTGCCATTTTGGGATTAGATCAAAAGAGGATACCGGTAGCTGTAAACTGTCCATTGGGTCGCATCAAAACTTTGAGTGCACATTCAGGGTTGGTGTCAGGAGTGTGATGAATTCTTTGCAAAAAAAGTGGTAACAGTTGTGAACTTCAAATTTCATGTTTATTCATGATTTCCATTGTGACAGGGATGTCAGAGAGCAATTGAGTACTTGGCATTTGACTGATCATCTGATTCATGATTTTCCCAGAAGATGTTTGGCCTTCACAAAAGTTCATTGCACCAATTACCTTGGGCGAATTACCAAATAGATGTACATAAGTATTTTACTCTGTCATCGCTGGATAACACATTTAACTACATTAGGCTTCAATCAAAAAAGTGCACCCTCTTGGATGCATAGTTCTTCCCATCCATCAAAATGCCATGTGGAGCGGAAAGATACAATTCTGCAGAAATTCATCGTCATTTTAACTTGGAAATGGATCTGTGATCCCTTCCCCCTTGAATCCCTCCACATTTCCTGGTCTAGTTATGCACCAGATTAAAAAAGATGATAAGTTGATAACACATCGCATGGGTGGGGTCAGTCAATCCATACTGCATCAAACATTCATTAAGAGCTTTGAGCATTTGGGGAGAAAGATTGATCCAGTCATAAGACAAGGGAACCAGTAAGTTACCGGCACTTTTGAGTGACACTGCTTGGGTGATGGTTTTGACATTTTTGCCATGCCTTGGGCATTCCAAAGTCCGTTCTTCATATGTATCAATGGAGGTCTTTTTGGATTGAGTCCAGAGAGTGTTTTCCGTTTTAAAATGAAACTCGGTTTTGGTCAATTGCTACCAAATCCAGCAAAAATGAAAAAAAATTAGTCAAGTTACATGTACACGTATACAGTAAATAGCTGAAAAGCTAAGTACAAGACAAAACAAGCAAAGTTGTACAGTATAAATAAATACAATCAGTTTTTCACCAGAAAGGGTGCTCATGCAGTGATAAACAAATGCACACAGGTTCTTCCCTGAAAATATTCTCCTGCAGTGTACCTTGAATGTGTTGAATGAGACCTTCCACAACATTTGTTGTTCGCACCATCCTTATACTTCCCATTACTTCCGTTAGTGAGTGAGGTGCCCTTTTGGTGCACATGGGAGATCCATCATGAACCGTCGGTACCACACTCATAGGCCTTATCCATCTGAAATTCAAATTACTGGGGTGATCTTCATAATCGTCTACTCCAGTGGCGGTAAACATTTTCCTTTTTCAATTATTGAGCAACCCTTTTTTCACACTTTTTTTCCTCGATAACTGGTTTCACTCGGTAATCACCTCCACTTCTCATGGCCTCTGCCGGATTATTGAAATGCAGTATTTATCCAGAGATATCTAGCTTTGAGTTCCAGCACCTCCAAAATTATGCTGGCAGGTTACGATTCAACATAGATTTAGTCTGCTGAATGAATTCTAACTGGGACTCTTGCTTTTGAGAGGGGATGGCATCGTGCAAAATCACTTCCAGCTGGTTTGAGAGCAGCCACTTCAGGAAGTACCAACCTGCATTTGAAAACTTGTATTGATGCTCTGATTTGTTTCTCAGTTGTGTTGTGCCACTGACTTCCGAAAAGTCCATTCAACTTGTTGTCTAGCGTAGCCGAGTTTGAAAGCTAAGTCATGATGGAAGTGTCAGTTTTAAGATGAGGCAGGAATATAAATATGGGGTCGATCTTGGGGAAGCCAGCACCAATCAGGTCAAAATTTAAGAGGCCCTAGCTATGCATATAATGTTTGCATTCAATCCATGGCCAGGTTCAGTAGAGATAGAGGGCAAGGAACAAGCCACAACAGTGGACTGTAGTAGGGTATTTTATGTTTATACCCAAACTGCATCGTCAAAATACATCTTTTGCTGTCCTTATTGGACAATTAGTTTCAGGTGAGATATGAGTTTAAAGGTACTATTTTTCCCCACAGCAATAACTGAGATCATCATACAATATGTAAAAATGCCCATCATAAACATTTTGTCCAGGGTATATTTAGGCAATAGACCCTATTCGCGGGCTACCCAATTTCAGTGGTATTCCTGAACGTATTGTATACATTCGAAACCCTTAATGGAATGGTACCAGGTGATTTGGGGGGTCGGAATGAAATTGTAGCATAGAGTCTGGTTCTTTAAATTTAACGTTTTCAAATAAATACATAACGATGGGGAATCTGACTGAAATTGGGTCCCCGTGTATACGGTTTCTTGGAATGATATTAATTTTAGTTGTTTTACCATTTTGCGTTATTCTCAGCTCAGAAGAGTTATGGTAAATGCACAAAGTCTGCAATCAACCTGTCATCTTTGTTTTAGTTGTGTCAAGACCCTCTGCATTGGCTCAGGACATGTTCAGCAACTTTTAATACCATTTTTTGGTCAGGTTTCTGGTGACCGTATTGTGAGCTGTAGTGATGACGGTAATGTCAGGATCTGGGACCTGTTGACCCCACCCCTCAGACTGGGGGACAAGGGGGAGGATGATACCATCGAAACAAAGACCATTGACCAACGGCAAGACAGATAAGCGCCAATAGGTATGGCCAAGATGTCATTGACAGCCTGTCACATCAGTCTTATAGGATTATATTGACTCTCAACCAATCCTAGTTCACTTTGAACAATTTTCTGTTAATTTGATTGAATCCATGTGTATAAATCTACAGATTTAGTCTATGGATGCGTTAAAAATGTGCCAGTTATGATACATGTAGTAGGCTTGTGGGATGGGAGCTGTTGGCAGTTTCCTCCTCCCCAGGTCAAGTCTTGAGTGTGACCAGGACATGGTGTCTGGCTCCTTTTGTGCTCCTTGGGAAAACCTACAAACTCTGAAAGGATACACAGAAATGACACCCAAGAATTGGCTCTACGAGTTATTGAGTTCAATTTTTATATTTGTTGAAACTAGGGTACATTGACAATGTGATGACCACATGGTGCACATTATAATGTTTTGCTTGAAATGGCAATGCCAGAAGCTACATGTTAGAAACAGGCACTGGTGGCAGAAGGGGGGCCAATTGCCCCCACACACACACCCAAGTGTGTATTTGCCTGCAACTGGGGACCCCCTAGTGTTCCTCTTTT